ATAATCAGAACTTAAGTAATTGTACCCGCGGGAAATCTTGGATTATTGCACTGGGTGGCCAGCCGCTAATCTCCAGAGGGCAAAGGTTATCGAAGCAATATTACTTTTTTTTTTAACCCACTCGTTCAATCTTTCAAACGGAGTACATTGCATTGTGTTTGTTGCACACAGGAATTCTAATTAGGAATTTTTTTTAGAAGGGAGAAGTTCTTCGTTGAATAGTGACTGTCATTTATCAAAATAAAAATGACAACAACAATAACCACCTGCGTTCAAGAGTAAAGTTCTTCCCCTCATATAACTGTAGATGCGTTACACAATTTAGAAAAAGCGTATTATGAGCTATATGGAACGCCATAAGAGCAAAGTGAAAATTATGTCAGGAAAAGTTTCAACTCTTTTTGGGCACATCGCTAACGTGGTTTTAGAGAAAAGTGACGACGCGTACATCTTTCTGTGCTCATGACCTTGAGGTGGTCGAACAAGGTCTACGCAGTGCACGGAGTACTATGTGCAGATGCAAGGGAGGAGGGTCGATCCCCACCATGCTCTGACCTCAAAAATAAATAACTGAATGAAAGAAAATTATGAAATAGCTTTATATTAATGAACAGCAAAAAGGGACATCCCCTGGAGGTCATTATTTGTACATCAGTAACAGAGCAATAAAGGACAGGACATTAAAGAATATGACGGGTCCGACTCTCCACACCGGAAAAAATTTCCTTGATCCGCCCCGAATGTTAAGGACTGACAATCGTTTTGGCTGCAATGGGACGGGTGGAAAAATTACGAGGAAGTTGCACACAATGAAGTAACCAGTGATGCACGGGTCAACTCCAAGAGAGGCTGAACTGGCAAACTCAAATCATAGCAGCCTGTACAGCGACGCCGAAGGGTGTTTGTTCGGAACCGGTCCCTTACGAGGCAAAAACAATTGTTAATGATTTATAAAACGCCCTCTTGCGAGCACTTTAGGAACGTCTTGTGGTGTTTATTTTTGAAACAAATGCGTGTTGATGTGTTGAAAATTTAGACACAATAGACACAAAAACACGTTTATTGGGTGGTATACTTTCTGAACATCGAAACACGTTTATTTCCAAAAACGTGCTTAATTTTGAACGGTTACATGTTTACAATTAACTCAAAGACGCTTTTACAATGGGCGTTGGTTTATACAGTGCACTTTTGTTACACTTGGTACCGTAACCTTTGCCTATTGCCATAGGACTTAGAAGTTAATGTCACGGAACCCCTAATGGATATTAACAGTGTGTCCGTAAATAAAGGCGTAGAGATTGTTTGTTAGTGCCCCCATGCAGACTTAGATATTCCAATGTTTACGTAGTCGTGTCTATTTCTACTATTGAGTTTTGGTTTGAACACTGAGCGCGCACGTTTTTTTTTTTTTGAGTATGCTTCCCGAAAGCTAAGAAATATTTAAGGGACACGACACTTGTCTCGAATTTGTATTTACTGAACTAAAAAAAAATCGATGCCCAATTAACAATTAAGGATATGAAGCAACTGGCTGTGCGTCTTGCCCTAATTTCTAGATCATATAGCCCAGGCCTACACTGCTCTGCAAATTAGCACCGTGAGAAACATATTGAGAGATAGTTGCCCAACGTACATGATTAATGTGTGACAACGAGCCTAACCTAATCATCTGGCTACTCTTTCGACTCTTTCTTATGATTCCAATGATGATTTACACCTCTGCCAAAATGACATTGTGCGCCTTCAAATCATATCAAGTCTTGACAGTCCCACTATTCGAATTCCGGTCTTTATCCGCGATTGGGCATTTGCAGCCACTCTCCGTCAGTAAGAGGCTTCAGGACGGGACTAAGTGCACAGCTGCACTGATTCAGTATTGATCGCCATGTGTGATTTTGTCCGTGTGTCCTACCGTGAAAAAAAGTGAAGCAACGGGATTTGTTTAAGTTTTATCTCCGTGTTTTGGCTTCGAGCAGTTTGTTTAGGTTTTCGATGCTTTCAAGTGAAAACATGAAAATGATCTGTGAATTGAGTTTACTCCTACTTGACTTGAAAAAACCATAAGATTGTAATTGATGTTCTTGAGCAAGTGCCGCAAATTGAGGTTTAAACAACGAAAACGGAACCATAAGATTGTAATTTGGGTCCACAGGAATTGCAATATCTAATCTTCCCAACATTTCGAAGTCCGTATATTGAAGAAAGAGAAACCACACATCGTCACCAAAGTGCCAAATTTGGATGGGGACCTGTTGATTTTTAAGCCGCTAATCTTCCCCCTTAACCCCCCCGGGACTCGGGAATGTTGCGCTCTGTATAACACTTCCCTCTCGAAACATGAGACCTTACTCCAGTTCTAAAACGACCCCAACCCACCATGTTTTTGCGTAATTGTTTCTTCAGTGACAAAGCGCTGGTTACCAGTTTCGCTAAGGTGGTTTCTCGTGCATATTGGACTGCAATTACAAAATAAATAAATAAAATCACTTTAAATGATTTCACATCAGCCCTTTGGCTAAATAGGCCTACAGCCACTACCACGGAACTTGTGTAATAGGTTTTATCTTAGAAAAAACGTAGCTAAGGAGACCGTTAAATATTCCAGTCCCTTTGTACTGATGTCCCTGACAGAAAAGGCCAAACTTGGAATGTTGTCGGCGGCACGCACAAATGCATTTTTCCGCTGAATCGCATCAGATTTTGCAATGTCCCACGCGACGTCTATGCACAACGCAATCGAATGGGGCGAGATGGGGTACCATGCCATGAGGATTCACCGTTTTCTCCTTCCACAGCAACACAAAAGTCATTTAAAATATCGAACTTGATATCAGCTAAACCAAGACACAAGCAATTGCCGTGTCTATGGTAGAATCTCCACTCAGTATCTGGGGCTGTCTATACTGACAATCATTGCCGATTAATGGATCACTTCAGAAGTACTAATTGTCTTCTCTTTCAGTTCGAGCCAATTTAAGTGGCTGCCCTCTCTCCCTGTCAGATCTTGTTCGTGTATTATCTTAGTTTATCGAATAATAGAGAAAAAGGCGGAAAAATTAGGTTATGGTGACTGGACGGAGTGCCTTTAAAGCCAGCCAGGAACAACGGGCTCCCGAGGTGAGTGACCGCTGGTGATGAGGAGTTATTCTAGTTATGAGCTTCCGGACGAGGCTGAGAAATGGCCCCGTATTGACCTGGAATGACACGGCTTGACCCTGCCGCGATTTATGAACGTCAGCCATCGCCTCCGATGCGTCTGGTCAGATTACTAATTCCTAACAACACCGGCGGCCCGGCGATGTTTAATTTATGATGTTGTAATACGTGGTTTGTTTTCTTCGGGAAGGAGCAAGTTGGCGGGTATTTTGTATCGTTTGGGGAAAATGCCGGGCTTCACGATATAATCCACAGAGTTTGTACCAGGCCGATGTATTGCATGATGATGTCCTAGGGTCGGCGTGATGTTGAGATAGGTATGGAGTATATCGACATGAACCGCAGTTTGGAATTCAAGCTTGTATCGGTCGGGCCTGCTTCAGAATCATCTATCATATTGCTGTCAGTGTACATCAGCAAGATAAATTGCTCGGCGGAGAGAGTGGGGGGGGGGTCGCCTTTTACATGGAATACAGGTTATTCAGTATCGCGAGATAATGATTTATGGCTCATTATCGGCACGAAAGGGCAGCGATTGCGGGAACTATGACATTATGTGAGGAGTGGGTGTGTGCCAGGGGTTTGTGGAGTAGAGCACGTCGGGGCTGGTACGGGTGCCGCACGGGCGAGCGTGTTCCCCTCTAGCGGAATATCGACACTTAACATGGGCCGTATTCCGAGATGGGCACAGTGGCGCCACAGGGGCAAACCGCTTATGCGTTGCTTGAACCAAATTCTGCGCTGTTTACAAGCTTGTAAGCCAAATGCTCATCTAGGATGGCTATCATCTGCTCATTGTTGAAATCGGTTGTTTGGTTTGGTTTGGTTTGATTTGGGTTTTTTTTCTGTACGTTACCGGTATTATTTCTTTCTGTTTGGTGTGGGCTGTTCGAGTGTGCTTGTTTTGTCTTCTGTGGATGAATATGCATGAGGCATAGCAACCTCCCGTTGGAAAGTATATCAGCATATACTGACCGCCGATTGGTAAACAAAAAATACAGAAAAGAAAAACCTACCTAAACACACGGTGATTGCTTTGAACATTGCATAAACACTGCAGTTCTTGGTGCGGAGTTTTGATAATTTCGTGTTGCTAGTTCAGATGGTATCTTAGCAGCTAAACAATCATGGCTCCATCAAAAGGAGTGACATAGTGGACAAGGAACTGCGACTAGAGCGGCTAAAGACACCAATTATACGAACATGTATCTGACAGTTCCATATTTAAAGAAATACTCTTGAGGTAATAGCATGTGTTAGTTGCAAGTGGCTACATGACTTTAGGCTAACCCTTTTGCAAACTGAACTATGGGAACGTGACTAACACACTGGAGTCTGAGACTATTGTTTTTGGCAATGAATCATGAAAAAGCCCATGCACTTGCATTTTAAAATCAACTGCGGAAAGCTATTAAAAACACCATGCTTGCTCAACACCGATGGCCATCAATTAGCGCATTTGGGTACAACAAACACTCCAATTAATTTGATATTATCAGATGAGGAGGAAAAGGAAGATCACGAGTTTCAAAAGCAACATGAAAAAAGAAGAAGACTTTTGAACTGCAGAGCAACACACGTAGAAGGGGAAAGACTTCATGTAATTAAAGCCACTTCACCTAGTTAAAGGATAAACTGTAACAGCCCGGGTTGACATTATTATGATGGGGTCCACTGGCTGAAACCCTACCTGAGGTGAAGACTGATGCTTCCCCAACAAACCTAAGCCAATCAGAGCGCGCCGGCGGCTGCGCATAAGTGCCCGAGTCGCCACCAGCGCAGGCAGGACAGCAACCCATTAACAACCAACGCCGAAATATAGAAGGCCAAAAGAAAACGGAGGAAGAGAGGGAAAAAAAGAAAGGAAAAAAAAACCCCGCGTATGCATGACAAGAAAAGTCTCGGCGTGGCAACTAGGCCTGACATTCAGATGACAGGGGAAACCAAGCGCGGTTTAAAAGTTACAACTTGTCGGCTGGCAATCACTTCTAACCACTTGGATCTAGTGGATTAGGCGCAAGTGTTGGCTCGGAACTTTTTTTCACAAGACGAGGCTCAAGGCGAAGTACGTGCAGCGTTGGCAGTGCGTGTGTGTCGCCCGGGCTTGCTTGACTGGCTGGCTGGCTGTCAAGCACCAGTGGGTTTCCGCAAACGGTGGCTGATCTTTTCTCCTTTTCTCCCCCTTCGAGGAGGAAGATTTTTGGGGGGGTCTGACGAATGGTTGACCTGGGCTGTACCGGTCGATCCCTAGCTCCGAACACCAGCAGCGGCCTGGATCTGAGGTTATCCACCGGTGACATTAATCGGAGCTGCGAGATCGAGCAGTCGCTGACTATGGGTAAGTGAAGTAGCCGAGGCGCTGTGTTTGCTTAGCCGGCAGGGGCCGTGCGCTTTAAATGGCGATAACGAGAGGCGTGCGTGTCCTGAATGCCGTCCCTGCTCAATGGTCCGCTACGCGGCGTGCCATTACCGGATTTCACGGCCAGACATGAGACGGGTTGCGCGACAAGAAACCCACAAGGACAGGACAGAAAAAAAGTACTATCGTCCGGTACGAACCGGTCAATACCTCGCTCGGACGGCACGAATTCCATCTCAGACGGTTGCCGTGCGTGTAAAGAGAGGGGTAGATGGCGAATTGGGTGGGCGCTTGTTGTGAGTTTTTTCGTGCAGGTCCCGAGCCCAGGCACTTCAGAGGCTTGGAGACGGCGTTTTCCCAGCGCTGAGCCACCCCTGATCATCGCCTCACATTAAGTGCTGGGCACAAGTGCGTGGCTGCATATTCGCCCGGCCCTGGCACCTTTTGGCTATTTACCCAGGCTTCACCCTTCTCGTATCGCCCGGCCACGCGGATATGGAGTAACTGCGGTCCTATCTCATCTTCGTTAGTCTCCTATTAGTCGCCTCACAAGTGCCTTGCATCCTGTCAGCCGCGGCTAAAACGCTTGGCTGATCAATAATCAATTTCAGTTTTTCCGCTTCTGACATGGAGAAAACGCACACGGGGATCCCGTGTCAACCTGCTTGTAAGCAGGGTTGTCAAACGCTGTTTCGTATTCAGCAGGCACGGTATTTAGCTGGAATCCCACATCTTTTGGCAATGCAAGCTTAATTTCGAAGCGCAGTTTCAGAAATTGTATAAAAATGACGCGAATGTGGTAATCATGGCGCGAATGTGGTAATCATGCGACACATTTTAACTAGGGACCTCTCTATCTCCCTCTCTCTTGACTAATGTTTCCCTTCACAAGGAGTGAGAATGTGGAGTTTTGAATAAATAAATTCACAAATTGCAATGAAAATTATGCACGCATGCTAATTTTAAGTAGTTGAAGTAAAATATCTCCTCCTACTTACTGTGTTTAGGCCTATTACTGTCCTTTGAATTTATAAATGCAGTTAACAATGTACTTTTATCGATTTTATAGCAGCCATACTCCTATCTTCTTGCTCAGATTTTGATGTAAATAAATGCATTTTTGTTGTATGTACCGGTATAACAGAAATGCATTAAAAGTCGTTTCTTATTGCTAAATTAATATTGCTGATCAAAAAAACTGTTTTCCTTTTTTTACTCATCCGGTTAAAGGATTCGTGCCAATCACTGCGACTTCTTGATCGTGTGGGCTTGAAGTTCATCTTGGTAGCATTTTTTAATGATTTGGTTTTTTTTACATTTTTATTTTGCATTGACGTGAGAAGAGGAAATGGGCGGTTTATTTGAAATTATGAGATTACCAAAGTATACTGAATGAGAACTTGCTCCAGACAATTATCGAAAGCTTAAATATCTTCTGAATCACCCAGCACAACAAAATTAAAATCCAAACTTAAGTCTCGTGAAAATTGTCGCAACGTATCACTCAGGAGTGCTACATTATAGGCAATTCACTTTCGCCTTAGGCTCTTAGCACATGTCCGTTGCTGCATGACACTGCCCTGGTTCTTTCTCCTTGCTCGGGGAGTGTTCTCGTCAGCGCAGATACGAAATGAATTCTGACAGGGACAGGAAACTGTAATTCGCGGGGACTTGTCGAGCCTTCCTTCCACTCATAACACCTTTCCCTATTACTGCAGAGAACCTACCTGTCCACTTTGGAATTCTGCTGTCGGGAAAAAAGCCCTTGGCATCGTTGTGCGCAGTGCAACAGACAGAGCCTTTGCCAAGGAAGATAAATTAACCGAGTGTTAAATTTGACAGTAAAACTCAATCTGCAGATGTCGTATCGGGTATTACTATGTTCAGCATCTTGCTCCAAGGGATATTAGTTGTGACTTTTGTGGCGACGCAATTAAACTGATTCTAATCGCTGAGGCTCTTAGTCACGCGTAAATTATCTACTGGAAATTGTCAATACAAGGGTCAGAGAGATCTAAATGTATGGTTCATGTCCGGATTTCCCTTCCTTACTCATCTCAATGTGATCGTGTTTACTCAAAATGAGGAGAATGCTGAATCTATTATGTCACATCCCATTAATTCATTGACTTCATTCCTGCTAGCATGATGCCATTACACGGAAAAGCCGGCCTTTTTCGAGGGAAACTTCAAATTTGCAAATAATGTGCAGGCCTGTGCTAATATTTGTCCGCTAAGATTGTGGTAACAGGACTAGATTTGTTTAGAAAGCAAGCAAGCTAATTTCATTGCTAGATACTGAATTCATGTTCACCTTCAGGAAAAGCAAAGCCTGGCACTTACCACTCGTGTAACATTATTTCAGCTGCATATGTTATTTAGGACTAGATTCAACTTATACATTTAGTCAAGCCCATCGGTAGTCCTTTCACAGGATCTGTCGTATTAAAGTTTAGGGTTGAACAATGACAAAGGAATGCTTTTGTCACAGCTCATTTGAATAGCTTGCGACTTGGCTTAAGACTAAATGACTTGTGAAGGACTTGCACTACTTCTGATTGACTCGACTACAACACAGTACATTTCAGTTTTGTTTTGTTAACATTTTTGGTTAAATTAATGGAGACCATATACGGCCGAGGTAGGGAACTTGCCCGCAAAAAGGACGTCGAAATCTGTTACCATTACACCGTGCGGATGAACCACCAGACGTAGGAACCAATTACCCGTTGCGTGAAAAATGATGCCGACGTGAAAAATGGGCCAGGATGCTCAGCACAAACACATGACCTCGATGATAAAGGTGGCGGAAAGACGAGGGCAGGTCAGGCGACAGCAAAGAGAAAGTAACCAATCGGCCAAAATTTACAGCCAACCGCAGAAGGATGGAGGCTAGACCGAACACACCTTTGTTTAGAATTGGGCCTTAAAGAACCTACAAATTGCATAAATCCTTATACTAATGTGTTTCCTCTTGGCAACAGTGATGGCAAAAAAGAGTACTTCACGGCTAAACGTTTAAGCATGGAGTCATAACAAAGCTGACTGGTTTATGATAAGTCCAACTAATATTAAGCACGAATAATGACTGATTTTCAGTTATTTTGGGTAATGCAGAGTACAGTCCAGATCAAAGTACACGCCCCGCAACACACAACAATTTTAGCAAAAGTCAAGAACAGATGGCATTGTAGATCTCCCTTTTTTAGTTAAAGAAACAAGCTGCTTATTTCGTAGTCTAAGAATGTCTTTCACACTCAGATAAATAATGGCGCAGGACGTAACTTGCCGAATACGCAAAATATAAAGAAAAATGAGTCGTTTGAGCATTTAGTATTCTTTCCTTATTTTCTTTCCTTCGTTTCTATTTTGGTCAGTTGTGGAGGACTCACGCGACAGACTATCACCGTCGTCACAATGTAAACATAATAACTGACCTCAATGTGAGTAATAATTTCGCTATGCATCATTTCCTATAAAAATAACAACTCTGTCGGGCGTAGATTTATGCCTTTGAAATTGTAGACAAGCTGCAGTATGTAACATCGACGGAAGATTGACGTCTTTTTCACTGTCGTTGTGGGAAATCAATTTTCCATTCTGATGCTAATACTATGACCTTTTGAAAGTCATATTTCAAAATTTGCCTCCGAAGCGGTACACAGTCAGCAATAAACAAACTGCGGATACTTTGTTCCATGGATCGAACCCCCCCCCATGTCATAAGAATCGTCATGTCTTGTGGCCGGTTCATACTACAGGCGATTGTGAAAGCGACGCGAATTTGACGTTCCAAAAGATTTGCAACGAAATTCCGCTCGAGTTGAAATGCGGTTAACTAGTGCGATTTCGCACCGCGAATATTGGCTCTGAAGTTGTTTTCCTATGAAGATTTTGGTTAAATTATAAGCTGACATACACGCGGGAACTGATAAAAAATGGATAAAAAATGTGTTGAGTTCAAATAGGGTAAAACTCAACGTGAACAGTGTCTGATTGCAATGCCGTTCCCTTGGTTTGTTATTGCATTCTTACCTCTTGACGAGTTTTTTTTTTTTTTTAACTTATTCAAGCATTTAATTCTTAACGGAAAATATTTGAATTTTTCCCTCTGGACCTTAGGTGAACCATCCATCAAACAAACAAAAAAATGAAAAACAAACAATGCTTTTGGTACAACATTATTTTGTTTCTGTGCTTTACCTCTGTGTTGTAATTTGGATTGGATGTGTATATTTACTTTTCAAGACGTCTCATTTGTGGAAATATTAAGATTGAAAATGTCCAAGACTGAATTAGATTTTAACATAATGTGCACTCACCCAAAACAAAACAAAATGGGCAGAGCCGTTTTCTAACCCATTGTCGAGTAAATCCTTCGTGTTCAAAATCTGTGATGGCCCCCTGTGTTTGTTTGGAATTCCTAACACGTCCTGTTCTTGGCCAACTCGCTTGCATGCATTCTCCATTCGCGCGCCAGCCATGGAGAAACTAAACTTGTTGAGCTCCCTGGGTCCTCATTGACCCCGAAAGGACTGAATCAGGTCCCGCGGACTCAAGGACCTCAAACCAGAGCAAGGAAGAACCGCGCTCTCTTCTTTCTTTCATTATTGAGACGTGCGGCAACTACACGAAATTCTGGCCACGCCGCACCTACTCACTCCACATCCAATTTGCCGTCGTATGGCATGCTTCTTACCCGTGACTGTCCAACTGCTGCCGTGACCGCGTGTCGGTGATTCTCTCCACGGTTTCCGCGGGGAAGGAGAGACGAAAAGACGAAGGCAAGCCGGCGCGCATACTCTAGCCAAGGCCGGCCTCGATCTTCCCGGGCGCCCGAGGCCGAGCATATACCAGCTCCAAAATATAGATCGTCGGAACACCGACTACAGCCGTTAATTGAGAATCTCAGCTTTGATTATTGGGCGATCTCGGCGGTGCTCAAATCTAAAGATTCACAGCGGAAAGAAGTGGGCAAAATCGTTTAATTTCTTTTGTTTATATAGCCACTTACCCGACGGGCTCCCGATGCGGTGATGATAAAGAAGATAGAGAGGGAGAAGAAAAACATGTCGTTGGCAAACCGTGGCGGCCACGCCGTGGCAAGACACGGCTTGCTGAGCCAAACAACCTGCGATCATTACCCAACTAGCTGCAGGGGCCAGAACCTCTCTCACACTCTCATACCGGACCAAACCCGTGGGCCAGATCCCGCCAAAAGTACCCTCCCTTCCTTGTTTTGCTGGTTTTAATAGGTGAAATTATTCGGGCACCATGCTCTTTTTCCACTCTTATCAGTGCTGGCCCGTACGGACGGCCGCACGGACGGCTGGAAGGGAGGCGCTGATCGGCCACTTATCGGCTGGTTTTGCTACCCACCGAATATTTTAATTAGGCTCATTATTATTCATTTGACTGGGAGAAGGAAAAAAGAGAAAAGGGAATATGGGAGGGAGAGGATCAGAGAGAGAAAAAAACCAACAACAACAAACTTTCCCGCGAGGTAACTTAATAATGCACCCCCGTAAGTGGGTTTTGTGAAGAACAATTGATATTTTAGCCGCCTTGCCATGCTTTTTGATCTGAAAAGGGTACGGGACGAGGTGGAGTTTTTTTTGTTATTGGCATGCATTTTCATGAGTGATGATGGTGACACCATATTGCCGCCCTCATCCCACCGCATGCACACTTGAAAGTACAGCCAACGTCGGTTCGCAACTTGCATAATAACTCTCGGCAAACACGCGGGGCCAGGCCTTCAGTTTGTCGCATCTCAGAGGGGTGTCTATAGTGCGTGCTGCTGTGGCGGTTCCGCATTGTCCGTGACGTTCACTTCTGGAACGGGAACGGCGTTCGACGTTTGCCCAAGCGATACCATCACATAACCTCCTCCATTCTCTTCACTTCCCTCCCATGTGTTATTGAGCTGGCCTCACCCACCATCAAGCGCCCTCGCATTTTCACAGCTCCTATAGGGCCCAGATATAGTTGTGTTTCGACCTGCAGCCAACGGAAAATCAATGGCAGTTTTGGATCGCCGCTAGTGTTTGGGTGCATCGGAAATGTAATTCACGTTGATCAAACACACCGCTGTCACTCTAATGGTGCACTCAACGCGCCCGCAGCAAAAGCCGCCGCTCGAGCGTCGCAACGCCAGTTGCTTTAGCAAACGCTCCCCTGCCTCGACTTGTCTCGCTCCCCCTCTTCCACGCTCACAATACTAATACGAAAGTAATGGCTTTTTACGGGATGTTCCCCGCAGAGCAAACATTCGGCGAGGTGAACCAGCTCGGCGGAGTGTTTGTGAACGGCCGGCCACTGCCCAACGCGATCCGGTTGCGGATCGTGGAGCTGGCCCAGCTCGGTATCCGTCCCTGCGACATCAGCCGGCAGCTCCGGGTCTCCCACGGGTGCGTCAGCAAGATCTTAGCGCGCTACAACGAGACCGGCTCCATCCTGCCCGGCGCCATCGGCGGCAGCAAGCCCCGGGTGACCACCCCCAACGTGGTCAAGAAGATCCGTGACTACAAGCAGCGGGACCCGGGCATCTTCGCCTGGGAGATACGGGACAAGCTGCTGGCTGAGGGCGTCTGCGACAAGTACAATGTGCCGTCTGTCAGCTCCATCAGCCGGATCCTTCGCAACAAGATTGGCAACAGCACCCTGACCCATCTCCAGCATGTCTACGATCCAACCAAGGACTCTCACAGGTCTCTCTACAGCCCAATATACTCGTACCCTTGCCCATCCCCAGCTAACTCGAAAGCGGCCATGGTGGCGGCTGCAGCCGGTCCCTGTGGTCCAATGCGACATTGTCACTGGCCCTCCTCACACACCGTCAATGACATATTGGGATTCCGATACCCTGGAACGGGCGACCCACACGGATCAGGTGAGACATTACTTTCATTCTTCCGTTAGTTTTACCAGTCTATTTTACATTTCAATGTTTTCTTCTATTGGGTCTGTTTTGCCATTACAGCAATAAAAAAAGTAGCAGAAAAAGTGCCAGGAAAAGAAAAGTTGACCAGAAAACTGGTTATAATTCCAAATATACCATTACAAAAATAAGAAATGAATGAAAAATGGAAAAGTAAACACTGAAAGGAATACCAAAAGTACGATAAATCTACACGACAGATAATTACATATAACTTTGGAAGGACGAACAAGAAAAAGTCACAGCCTAATGCGTGGTCCGTACATGATTGTCTCTGTAACCGGCACCGTAACTGAATGCCTTGATGAGTTGCTCTACTGAAACACTGATCGGTATTTTGTTACCTAATGTCTCCCACGAGCGGGGCGGATTCGTTTTCTAAATCAGCACCCAAAGCATAGGACCCAGCGGGAACAGGGGGCCCTAGACGGAGACACCCCCGCTGTACAAACTCTGGCACCTTGACCTCCATCTGGTATACAGGGGGGTCTTTTGAGCGCCCTGTCGTTGCGTCATGAGATGTGACGGCCCCTGATGAGCTTATCACAATACCCCGTGTTTTGGGTCGCTGAGAAGCGGTAAGGCAAGACAAACACGCGGGCAGGGGGTCCGGGGTGGTGGGCGGGGGCGGTGCTTACCTCCCATCTATGGATGGGTTTTACAGCTCCTAAACGATATACTGGCATTCTTATTAACAGACTAAACACCACCATATCACAACGACTCCATTGTTTGTATTTGGGCATTACGTTCACCTCATTATTGGTTCTGCAATTATAACGAGCTTATTTTCATGCTATTTGAGTGATTTTGGAAGTGTTAGTCTGTTTTAAATACCACAAAGGGTGGCCTTTATTTTTTTAAGGAAGGATGCCTTGAAACTAAGCAAGTATGTTGAGTTGAGATACCAGTATCCAAACAATCCTTGAAAATTGGATCTAAAGTGTGATCACAGTCTGAAGGAAATAATGGTAATGTTGCCGTTCCCTTGTTCATTTTGAAAACACAGACGTGGTAGCTATGCAGCCATTTAGTATCTTTGCCCTTGAACTGCGATGTCTTTAGCTACACACAGCACATAAAATGGAACAACGGTACCGTCCATTTTTGCATCTAGGCCTCACCAGAAAAAGCCCTTTGCGAAAAAAAAGTAGCACGCATACAGATATTTTTTAAAAGGTGTGTTGAATTTAAAAAGAGCCCACTCACCTGAATGCTCGAGCCGTCAAGTCTTGAGGTGGTATCGGGTACGTATCATGGCTCCCTCTTCGTGACATTTTATCCAGGGCGTCTGATAGTGAAATTAATTGGCATAATAAATAAGCCTGCTCGAACATCGATTAATAATTGGTGACCCAATGAGAACTTGAGAGCAAAAAAGGTCCGCTGTCCCTGTGCTTTACCGGTCAGACGACTTCATTTTTGTTGTTTGTACATGTACGTTACGTTCTTTCGTCTAATCTGAGTAAAGGTTGGAATTATTTGTTTGTTTTTTTGTGACTGGTAAATGTGACGCTTGAATAACTTTCAAAAACACGCACAAGTTTCTGAAGAAACGACAACTTTTCAAAAGACAAACAAATACAGACCTATAATGGGTGTCAGGAACAATTATATACAGCGCTATTCAATTAAGTCGAACATCGGTAATTTAAAGCGAAAATTTGCACAGATTTTCGTAAGAAACTGGTTCTCAGATGCCAAACGTGGCGCCTTTGTTTCTACCAAAGCTGGCGCAAGATTTTACCTTTGTCAGTAAGGTGTAACATTAATCTACCTGTATCTGCCTCAATGATGGTACCTCTATCTCTTCTTGCCCAAAGCTCCCCTATTGGGTATGTAAGAACTAAACAACAGGCCAATCATGGCATGATTTGTCGATGCAGATTCGCTTTTGGACCACCCACTGCTTGTTTTATGATGCAATGTAACTTTAAACATCCAAATTTATCATAGGCACATAAGCAAGAACATTAGCATAGTGCAATAATGAAGTAAGGTTTAAAAAAAATACATTATTACGATATTTAAAATGACATTATTATGTCTTTTGGCCCCCTTGCGAAGGATGCAGGGAAAAACTCCTGGTATTCCAGGTAACTTTCTTTACAGTAAAGGGGAGAAAATACCGGACTAGTAGTTTTCATTACGGGAAGTTGTAATGAACATTTTTTTCCGTTAATTCGGAATCATTATTACAGCATAATGACGTGAGTAATATGGCTGTCTAAGAATACACATGATTTCATAAGTTAATACCAAATGATTTCGTGATGAACGAATTATTTGGCTGGTCAAATGAGTGGCGGATGTTTCCTTGTCCCTGTGATTGCCAGTTGAGCCATCCGCATTGCCGAACAGCGTAAAATAGAGAAGTCTCGAGCAGGAACGAAATTCACGGAATGGTTGATCTCGGACATTGTGTCACTCGATAACAATACGTCTCTAGAGCCTGGACGGACTAGAACCGACCGACTCCCCCCCCCTTCAAAATTCATCGCATCCTCGGAAAGGCGTTAATTTCCCCTCATAAAAAAGGAACATAATATCTCTTCAAACATCGCATGAATATATCAGGCCCTCCTCGTCTCCATTGTGGTGCAAATTCGGTCTTACATTTGGGCCATTTTATTGGCAATTTCATCGGGCCTCTCGAGGCCCTGGAGTCGGGGTCCCGGCCCGTCGAAAGTCAGCTCGACGGCCGTGAAGTAGGTAACACTACACGTGCCGCGGCTGTTGCGCAAACACGAGAAAAAAGGGGGGTCGACTCAATTAGAAAAGTCAACGAATTAAATCATGGAAAAGCAATGATACCGGCCTGTGGAGTCGGTAGGGAAGCGAAAGCTGACAGGAAATGCGCGCCAAAATAGCAGGGGGGGGGTTACATCCCAGACTCGTGTATTATTCTGTCTCAGGTTGACTCGTACTTCTTGGCTTGTCTATATAGTGGTGGTCGAATTGTGATGCAGCGACCTGCACGTTGCTTGGAGTTCTGTTTTGAACTATAACCTCTGCTTTCCATTTGCCATGAATTCGGATTCATCCCTATCTTTTTATTGCTAAGCAAGAAACCCTTCACCACACCAACGTCACTGCTCTTAATTAATGACCTACTCGTGCGCTTAAATCTTCCTCATCGCATGCACATTAGACATTCCAATGCAACAGAAAATTTGAAGTAGCAAGTATATACACGTTCCAACTTCGGTTGTCAACCGACCCTGCCCGGCGACCCAATGCAATGTGCCCGGGAGATGTTGTTAGAAAGCCCCACACTCTTACCGCTAAGTACCCATCCCCGGTCGATCAAGCCGACCGGGTTTTTCCTGTCTGCTCTTGCCTCTTTTTTCTTGTTGAACAAGGAGGGCCGTAAGATCAGCCCCCTCAAAACAAAAACAAATAAATGTCAGTGCCGATCGCGGACTTCCCTTTTCTCCCCGTGTCTTGGATAATAGCCACACTCTGCATACGCCTGATTTTTCTCCCAGTAATTATTTCTGAGGCGATCTTGTCATACACCTGCCAGGGGCTGCCCAGGCCGGTTCTTTTAGAGCGCGTCCATGCACCAGTAATATTCAGGGGGGTATGGCCGCTCACGTCACACGCTACACACTGGATCCTGACCAGTCGCGGTACAAGATTCGTGGGTCAATATTAAAAACCTTACACCGGCACTCTCGCCTTATTTGCTTGTTTAGTTCAGGTCGATTAAGATTTTCAGATCTGAGAACACGGCGAGGGTAAAGTGGGAGGAAAATGAGGCCAAGAAGACTTGTTTAGTTTCTCCCCCAGACAGACATTCGGCGGGGGGAATCAAGTCGTCAGCATTTAGTTGAAGTTCACCGGCACTTCTTTTTTTTCTTTGGTCCCGACTGCCCTACCTGGCCAAGCTGCTTTATTCCCCAGCGAGATGTCAAGTGCACGGCAAATACATTACTGTCCAAATTGGAGTAGATATTCCATTACTATACGTACCACCTATAGGCTCGTTGTGTGGCTGCCGCCTTTTGTTACAGTGTGCGGCTCACTCCTTCCCAACATATGCATCCATTTTCGGTCTTGAATCGAACCCTCCTTCCCAAATAAGAATGACAATGTCACGCGGGTCGAGTGCCAGCTCACCCAGTATTTGGTCAATAAAAAGACAAAAGTTGCAAAAATCCGAGCGATCGACTACTTAACCTAAATTCTCACCACGCCGTCATCTTTCGGCGTGAGTTGGCCCCCTACCGCACAGGTTCCCAGTACTCACATTATGTTTAATTCATTGTATGCATGATTGAATCATGTACACAACGGCTTTGAAACCAAATTCACAATTTACTCATTTTCTCTGAATATGTGATTCACAATATGTCATTGTAAGAACTTAAGTTTAATCCGTGAAGTTAATGAGAAGATAAAAAATGGGTTTAGCAATGATGGGCTCTGCTATTTTAATGGACGATTGGTATAGTGGTCAAGTTGAATAAAATTTGACCAAATGCCGAGATTTTTTCCCCAGAGGTATATGCACTCGATACTTCAACCAACATAATTGGCACTCAAATGTCCTCTTGTTTCTTATTAATGGTTACGGTTAATATAGAGCTTGATAGTGGCAGTCACCAAGAGAGATACTCTTCTGTAACATCACAATCCCATCACACTTCCCTTCCATCCTCATCGTATTCCTTGTAAAACAAGTACATGCAAACGGAACACCATTTGGCTTTTTTCAGCAAACCACTCGGTACCTGACAGCTACAACGGGGCTACACCACTCACAGTAGCTGTAACTGGTCATGTACAATTGGGCTTGATTTCAATCACAATTTGGAAATCCTACACAACATGCGCTGCACGCACAGTTTCATGCCAGCACCTTCAAGACGAATATTGAGCGGGAGCCGTGATTCTAGACTGAAAATTCCAGTACCATTTGAGACAATGCAGCGTTGATAAAAATGCCC